GTGGAGGGCAGTGTCACTGGCCCTCATATGTGGGATCTGAACCGGGGCCCTCTGGCATCCCAAGCCAGTTCTTAACCATCGTGCCACTCGGCCGGCCCCATTCTTTGATCCTCGATTTCTCTACTGAAGCATGTGGTATTTCAGGGGTGAAAGGGAGTTGCAGAGAGGGTGGAGGTCTAAATTTGTCTGGGCTTTTTGTCTAGGCTTCCAGTTGGATGGTTTGAACTAGATCAATAGGATTTTATTCTTGCTATGTTAGGTTTGGCTTCATGCCTCAATACTTAATAAAAGCTGTAAGTCTTAAGAATGAGAGAATTGGAATGGCTAAGTGGCGAGTTGGTTAAGAATTGGCTTGGGACGTCAGCTCTGAGCATCAGGGCCCCGGTTCGAATCCCACATGTGGGCCAGTGATGCTGCGCCCTCCTCAGCTAAGATGGTGAACAACAGCTCAACCTGGAGCTGGGTTGCCATGAGTCACTGGCAACGGCGTAGGCTACAGTGGAGCTGCAGTGGGCTCCCATAAGCTACTGTGAGTGACCGGCAGCCGGTGTGAGCTGCCAAGAGCTGCTGTGAGCAGCTGTCCAGTGACCAGTGACCAATCTGCCTCACCCGGGAAGAGTGCAATGATGATACCAACATGGGCCAGTGAAGCGACATCCTCCACAACTAGAGTGAAGAACAAAAGGACAGTAACTTGCCTGTTTCCCCTCCCCGATTCCCCAATGCTGTTCCCCTCCCCCAATTCCCAATAAAATCTTAAAAAAAAAAATGAGAGAATTAATTAAAACAACATCATCCATAATTGAAGCTTTATATTATACCATTCAAAATTGGGTAGCTTTTTCAGTAGGTGATAATAAAGAAAGCAGCTTTCCTTTATTGGGATTTAATGAAAACCCATGAGTATCCTCAGGTGTGTTTCGAAGGTGGAAGTGGGTAGAATGACTAGAAGTTGAATCACAAGACTGCATCCTGGTGTTTAATTTTTTTTTTTTTNGCTGCTCAGAGCTGGTGCTCCCAAGTGAGCTCTTAACCAGCTGAGCCCCTTGCCTGGCCCGAGGTACCATCTTTTAAAGATGGGAGATACTGGGCCATATTACAAGCCTGGGACAAATCTAATAGTGAGGAACAGATTGATGATACAAGAGAATGAGGGAATAATTGAAGAAGCAACACCCTTGAGACTATTAGAGGCCTTGGGATCTTGAGTACAAGTAGAGGATTTGCCCATTGATAGGAGTATGGCTTTGTCCAGTGTTGAAAAAGGTGAAAAAAGGTTATAAGACAGGTGTGGATATTGATAGTTTTGTAGACTTACTTGTAGTGTGATAGAAAGTTCCTGACAGCTTGTATTTTCTCAGTGAGTTTTCCAGAAAAAACAGAGGAAGAGAGGTTGTTTTCCAGAAAATGCAAAATTCCGAAGGCTTAAAAGGGACGCCTGGGTTTGGGCAACTGCAAAAGGTTCTGCTCAAACTAAGAGCATATGCTGCGTTTGGCATGGTTTGGCATCTCTAAAGAGAGGGCAGGAACATTTAGTCTGGGTTAGATTATGAAGACTCCCTGTTTTCCAAAACCGAAGGCAAGGGAGCAAAGCTGCCTTCAGGGACTGGGATTCCCTGGTGGTGCTCCACGTGGAACAAGTTCTCTGCGGGAGGGGCGGTCTGCGCAGGTCACTTGGGACCTCGGCGAGTCTGCGCTTGCGCACGGCTTCTCGCAAGCCCGCGCGCTCTTTTCCCTTTTTAGTGTTGCTCCCGGGCCTGGATTTTTACCTGGAGACAGTTTGCGGCCTCCGCACTCGGGATGGATCATCTGGGTGATTTGGAGCTGCTGATGGAGAAGAGTTTCTGGGAGGAGGCTGAACCGCTGGCGGAGCAGTGAGCGGAGCGGTGGTGGTGGTGGTGGTGGTGGCGGGGGGAGGTGAGGGAGCGCGGGGAAGGAGGGTCTGGTAACAAAGCGGGAGATTTGAAAGAAAGCAGCGGGAGAGGCCGCGCCCATGCCGCCGCGGACCGGGACTGGAGACTCAGGGACCGGTCCCGGCTCAGGTTTCGGGGCACCAGACGAGCCTCCGGAGTTGGGGTCTGCTTCGCAGGGTCCTCTTTGGGGCCACACTCGACCAGAGCAGTTCTCTTGTCGAGCAGTTCATTCTTTCCTGATTTCACATCTTTCCCGAATTTGGAGAGTCCCAGCCACCTTAATTGTCTTCATAAAAGCAAATTGCAACTTTGAGATGCTTTTCTCGATTTTTAGTTGGAGAACTTATTCCTGGGAGAACGCTGCACCCTCATTGTGGTTTAGATGGTCAGAGAAACTTCACCCACAATCGCGGTGTGGAATTGTTTTCAATAGCAAAAACAATGGTGCCAATTTTTGTTGACGGGTCTTTGCGTTTTGGGTTTTGATCAGCAATACCTTTTGGTAGGTCCTTAAGGCATCCCAGCTGACTTTGGGAAATTCATGGCCTGAAGCTACGTGGGATAGGTGGGTGAGGAGGTTACAAAATAATAGAACCTAGGGTGGGTGACAAAGATAATTTCAGAGTTATGTGAAAGGCATTTGGTGTTATAATTGGAGAGAGAGAATGACTTTGGACTCAGTTGGAGTTTTACTGCAATCAAACTGGAAAGACTGAAGAGGAAGTTAATGTTTTCTAGAGGAGAGATAATTTTGCAGCTTTCAAGAGGCTAGGATCAATGGATAAAAGTGACATTGACTTGCCCATAATGAAAGAAGTTCCTAAGTTTATGGAGGAATGAGCTAATATATTAAGCTTGCTTTCTCTACAATGCAGGGGCAGGTTGATCTCCAATGAGATTTTATAGAGGAATTTCCTGCATTAAATAGTCGATTGGACTAGATAATTTCTAACTATGTTCCTAATTTAAAGACTAATGTAATTCTTTGGCTCACAGTAGGACTTCCAGCAAACCACCCCGCACTATGCTTTTCTGTAACAAATGTCTTTTTTTTTTTAAAGATTTTATTGGGGAATTGGGGGAGGGGAGCAGCATTGGGGAATCGGGGAAGAGGAACAGACAAGTTGCTCTCCTTTTGTTTTTCAGTCTAGTTGTGAAGGATGTCGCTTCACTGGCCCATGTTGGTATTATCATTGCGCTCTTCTCGGGTGAGGCAGTCGCTCGCCGGCCACTGGACGGCCGCTCACAGTGGCTCTTGGCAGCTCATGTCAGCTGCCTGCCACTCACGCTGGCTGCAAACCACTTATGGTAGCTAATGGCAGCCCACTGCAGCCCTACTGCAGCGTATGCTGTTGCTGGCGACTCACAGCAGCCCAGCTCCAGGTTGAGCTGTTGTTCACCATCTTAGCTGTAAAGGGCACAGCATCACTGGCCCTCATGTGGGATCTGAACCAGGGCTGTGCTGCCCAGAGCTGGCGTCTGAAGCCAGCTCTCTCTCTCTCTTTTTTTTTAAATTTTATTTTTTTAAGCTGAGCTATCCTGCCACCTGTT